TGTGACAACCTCTGATGGGTTTTTTTCGAGGAAACCTTGAATTTCTTTCAGTGAATTGCTTGCAGGTTGCTGAAATGATCCAGAAAGTAAGTTGCACCAATCAGCAACAACAAGAACGCTATATGAGTACTGAATCAGGAAATTAAGTATAACTAGGATGTGTTGGGACACTTACAAATGATGTAACATTGTAACACTTTCCACCAAATGAGTGACAAAGCCAGATGTCATTGCTGAACTCATACATATCAAGCATAAGTCCTCGAACGCCATTCTACAGACAATGAAATTTTAATTTCTTTAACAGAGTTTTTACTTTAATAAAATATTAGGACTTAAGAAGCTAATGACTTCTCTGCTTAAGTTAACGTAGTAAATGTCCATGTAGAACTTTCTGACATGGTTGCTACATATTTACCCATAGCATATTTTACTTTTTTTACTGGAGTAGTTCTCTGATTAGTTGAATCACACAGCTTTGAATTTTCCAAAAACAAATTCTTTTAAGGCACGAAAGATCTTTACATAGAAAAAGTAGTGGGGTATAAAGGTAGCAATTTTATCTCATAATTTTGATATATTACTTGAATTATAAATGTAAAAGTAGACTCCACTGAGAACCCAATTAGGACATTAGCATGTGGACAATTTTGATAATTTGGTTAGGTGAAAGCACATGCCTATGTCCTAAGCAAAGTAAAATATGAGTTTTTTGCAATTATATATTACAAATCTAATCTGACTGTTTTCTCTCTCCTACCTAAAAGAGTATCTTTTAGGGATCGTTTGGTGTAACAGATAAAGGAAAATAATTTTGGGACAACTTTTTAGTACTCCTCAATTCTTCCAATAAAAAATAATTTCAACATATTACATTCAGCTGTTCAGCTTTTTTTCTTCACCTCCTTTGCATATTGCATAGAGGAGCAACTTTTTGAACTTCTACATCTATTCAACTCTTTTTTTTTCTTTTTTTTTTACGGATGGACAGTGAAAATTCAGCTAGCCAATCAATTGAACTACTAAAAATGCCTCAAATATTCAATTCATAATTAGAGAAAATAGAGCAAATCACCTTGAGCTGATTAGTAATGGAATCTTCCTGGTTGGTCGGAGCAAGAATATCAGACCCAGTTGCAGATTTTGACCCGGAAATTGCAAAGGAGTTGTGGGTCGTCAGCCACGAATACTTGTTGAATGGCAAACCTTTTACCTTTCAACCACAAAAATAAAAGTAAAAAATTCAATATACCATTAATGAAAAAAGGTTAAATAATTGGATTTGGAGTTATGATATATGAAATTCACCTTGGTGGTAGGAATAGTGGGTTGAATGCGAGTACATCTGGGTCGGGTATTGCCATTAGCAGGACAAGTAGAGCAGACTAATCCTTCGTCACAATTACTGTCGGTACAAGTTTCTCCAATCTGTAATAAATCAAATATCCAAAAGAAATAACAAATTCATGAATGCGATCTAAGTGAGATTTAATTAAGATAATTAATGTGTAAGATCAAAATAATCAATAAATACCTTTAGGCAAGAGTAATGTTGGAATAAGAAAGAAACGGTGATACAGAGAATAAGAAACTTCATAGGTAGACGGATGATCTCCTGCAAAATAGAAAGAAAATAAATACAAGGATTTTTCTGTAACTGCAAAATAGAAAGAAAATAAATACAAGGATTTTTCAATAATGAGAATTTGAGATAATTAAGAGTAATTGGCAGCAAGAAATTTAGATTAAGAGATTGCATGCCTTCATCATGTAGGCTCTGAGGTTCTTCTCTCTCTCCAAAAATCCCCTAAATCAGTTTTTATAAATTAAGTTTCTGTCTAACTGTCCCCCTTTTTAGGATAAATAAAAAAACATGTTAGTTTTACTTTTAATAGGAAACAGATAGCTGCCCGAACCTTTTAGACTGTTTGCATGGGTTTATATTTGATGTTGGATTTGATTTGTTTTTATATTTTTAATTTGAAAATGAGGATTTAAAAGTATTGTTTTTTTTAACTTAAATAATATAAAATATTTAAAATTATTTTAAACTTAAAACAGGTTAATTCTCCTAGGGGAAATTCTGCTTAATTGGAGTGTTTTTCTTTTTATCTCTTAAGCTTATAATCTTTTTCTTATCTCCCGTACTGCCGTACACACCTTTTTATAATTAAGTTGTAGTATGTTTCAACGGATGCAAATAATTTGATTAAAAATCGGTTCAAACAACTTATTTCACAATAAATATTTATAGTAATAAAATTAATAAGTAATAAAAATAGTACTAGTAAATATTCTGTTATAGTATGCTATGGTTATCGAATAGGACTAAAAACTTACTTGAGTATTGTCCAAATTATTAATTTGATAAATTCGGAACGAGCTACTCCAACTACTATTGATGATGTATTCATCTAGAATGTCCTTGGTCAATGAAGATTTTTCTGAATCTCCTGACAAAATTTTTGACCTCTGCAATGCCTTAGTTTTGCACCTGGAGAACTTTCTCTGATTTTAAGATCTGGTTAATATTATCAACTACTTTAAATTCAACACCATCTTCAAGGCAATTTTGTTTAGTACTGTCGTCACTTTTTCAAAATATCAAAAGATGTTCCATCATGTATCAGGCTTCTGTGAAAAGAACAGATCCGCATATAAATGGTTTCCTACTCTCATGCATCAATTTTGCACTGTCATCAAGTTCAACTGACTCACTAAATGAGGTATCGTCTGTTGATTTGCCAGCTACAATTGTTTGAGACTCATCCTCCCATCCTGAACCTAACAGATTTTCTGATTTATATTTGGAGCTAGCTGAAGCATTGATTTTGCTATCCAGGAATTTGTTATCAAGGAAATCATCCTAGGTAAAACATTAGATGAAAGGGGTTGCACAGAGCTTCTGGATCTCCAGTTTACACCGGCTGTGCAATGAGCAAGAGATCCATAATTTGACCGACTTGAACTTTCAATCTGACAGAGGAATCTGGACCCAGGATCATGCTTTTCAGAAGCACTTCCCCACAGAATATCAGAAGAAGATTGAATATCTCTCTGACAGAGCATTCTCCAGTCAGTTTCTTTGGCAGCAGGGAAGGAAGTTCAAGTGTAGCTTTGCAACTCTGAGCTCTGCACCTGCCTTTACTGATTTCAGAATATCTGGAAGGAGGAGCAGGGAATGGGACAGCATTAGATGAGGAGGATACTTCAACAGTTATATTCTTATCTAGGTTTTCCAAATCCAAGTAGCTTAAGAGAAAAGAAAGTGATAAAACTACACGATGGCGTAACACTGAAATGATTTCGACCATCTGATGCATAAGTAACTCTTTCTTCCACCAACCAACCTTCCACAATTTGTCCCCTTTTAGGGAAGCAGGTGGTGGCTGCAGCCAACAGGAAAGGGAATGTGAAGTGGACAAAGCCACATGTACAAATAACATCAAATACTATGAATGCTAAGTGATGTTGCATAAAAAAGTTGATAGAGCGATTGCTCTCACCGGTACTTACAGTCCAGAGATTCGTGACAGTATCCTCAATAAAGAGAAGGACGGGGTGCCAATCCTACAAGTAACATTAAGAACCATTTAGTTACCACAAGAGATTCCTGTAAAACAACATCAAAGTAGCTTTATGAGATTAACACAATCAGTATCAATGGTGCCAACAAAGGGAGTAAAATTCTACACATCATTTCAGGCAATTTGATTGCACATCTAACATGGAACAAAAATGAACAACTGGCATGCTCTGATAGACAAACAAACAAGAACCACACCTCACATCTTCCTACAAGTAACATTAAGAACCATTTAGTTACCACAAGAGATTCCTGTAAAACAACATCAAAGTAGCTTTATGAGATTAACACAATCAGTATCAATGGTGCCAACAAAGGGAGTAAAATGCTACACATCATTTCAGGCAATTTGATTGCACATCTAACATGGAACAAAAATGAACAAGTGACATGCTCTAATAGACAAACAAACAAGAACCAAACCTAAACTAACTCAATTTAATAAAATAAATCCAAAGCCTAACAAGTGACATGCTCTAATAGACAAACAAACAAGAACCACACCTAAACTAACTCAATTCAATAAAATAAATCCAAAGCCTCACATTCATTTCCCAACCCAAAACAAAGTAAGTCATAAATCCCAACAAAAAATTCACCTTAAATTCCACAGAGGTCTTTGAAGGCTCCAAAGTCGAATTATATAAAGATCTAGGACAGTTTAAGTTAAACAGAAACAGTGGATATATCTGAGATCTACTTCGCTTCTCAATGTCACAAGCACTGTGAAAACTCATAGCTATGTTATTAAGTAATTTATGTATTGGTCCTTTGGAAACAAATCTTGAATTGATATCTGCATTACGAAGGTAAAGGAAAACAAAAACACCATTAAAACAAGCATCTGGTATAGAAAATGTTAACCAAAGATTAGTTTTTCGTTTTTCTTTTGGCCAGGAAAATATACTGAAATAAGTGGATACAAAAATATTGAAGGACCTGCAAATTAAATAATGGTTGTTAGGGAAACAGATGGTAGAAAAGATAACTTATCACATCTCTTATCCATCAATTTGGGACTTTATACGTTCATTGCGTAAAAATCAGGACCTGAAACGTATCCTGAGAGCTTGAATGAACCATCACTTGCATTCAATCTGTTAAGGGAGCTCATATGAATCCCAAACCCACTGGACAATTGTGGCAACGGAGAAGGAGAAGCATTTGTGCAAACCAGGTCATCCTCACTACATGCAATGAACAATATCTAAGAAACCAGAAAGAAAATATCCGTAAGTTAGCTAGTGTAACAAAGACGGACCAGACTCACTGGACAATAATGGCAACGGAGAAGGAGAGGCACATGTGCAAAGCAGGTCATCCTCACTGAATGCAATGAACAAAATCTAAGAAACTAGACAGAAAATATATTTAAGTTAGCTAGTGTAACGAAGACGGATCAGACCTTTCAATATCAGCAATTTTGAAAGAGACACTGGGATGCACAAGGGTGATTCTTGGCAGAGACTCTTTCAGAGAATGCAAGACCTTCTTTCGGCTTCCAGATTATTTATGCAAACCAAAAGATCAATCAGGTCAGAGTACAACTTTAGAAATAAAGTATGTAAATCAGTATTTTTCATTTGTTTGAATTATGAGAAAACTAAAAGTACTTGGAGTGCATTTGCTTACTTTGAACTGGTTCGTTGTAAAATACATCACGAACAATGACTGCAAAGAGAAAAATCCTAAGAAAAACTCCTTATTAGCAAACAACAGTCAACTCATGCATCATGCATCATGCATCAGATAGGCTTATACGGAATTGCATGTATAAGCCTATATCATCATTTGTTGATAGTGATGAAGATAGTAGGCATAATACATATATTGACCCCTAAACTTGGCTTCAAATTTTAACTTTGACCTCCAACTTTCATAATGCACAAATAGGCACTTTAACTATCCTATCTTTAAATAAATAAACACGCGATTTTTGGAGCCAAAAGCGTGAAATGCAAGCGCTGCCACGTGTATTAGTGACCCACTCAATGGCTGCCAACTATTCAATGCATGTGGGCCCGTTTTCCTGTCTATTTGACACCTTTTCAATTTGCCATGCATTTATTTTAATGGATATGGACCCCACCTCACTAATTCCATTCCCTTCTCTTTATTTTTGCCTCACAACTTCTTCCTTCACTTTCATTTTGTGGTAAATTAATATTTGAAAATGTCAATTATTCAATTTATAATTTATTTGTCTTATTTCTTTTTTTTAATTTATGTGTATTCAAAGATTACATTTAAGATACTATAAATTATTAGACTTAATATTTAAAATTTTTTATTACAAATTTGAAAATTACGTAATATACACTATTAATTACAATAATTACTAATTTAAAATATTTTTTCAATCTAATAAGAGCCTACAAACACACTATACGTTATATTTAAAAGTACTAATAAATCATAATTAAAATATATTTTTTTTAGAAAATTTTTTGTTGACTCTTGAAATTCTATCGGTGACACATGAATTTGAATAGATGGAACAATATATATTATTGAAAGTTAACAATACTATAAGTTATTCGAAAATGATGTTAATGATTTTTATAAATTATAACAAATTAGCAACTAAAATATTTTTGAAAAAACATACAAAAAATTAGTTGATGAATCAGCCACCACACCGTGGACATGTATGCTTTTTTGTGATTAAAATTGAGTTTAAGGGTTATTTTGGTCATTTAAGGATTTTTCTTTAAACTTCAAGCTTTATTAATAGTGATGTATTCATCTTAGAGTTAACATGAACATTTACTACCATATAAATATATAAAATTTATTCAAATTTAAAATTTAAAACTATTTATTTAACGTCAATTAAAAATTAACTTTTAAATTAATTATTAGCACGGGCTCTTCATCACTAGTATATAATATAATAAGCGGGAATAGAGAGGACGTTGGGGTCGACACGTGTTCCTTTTTCCTTCTGGACAAAAAAAGACTATACAGGCAGGAGGTCAACCTGTAAAAAAAAAAGGGGGACCCATATTTTACTATTGAAGGATGCGTGTTTCTTTTAAATTTCTTTTACCATACTAAATAATTGTATAAAATATTATAAATCACGATAATTAATTACTTAAATATTTAAAAGATATAAAAATATATAAAAGATCTGATTGACTCTTCAAATTTTACCGGTGACGCATAAATTCGGACAAATGAAATAATATATATTATTTGAAAATTTCTTAGAAAGTACTATAAATTACAGTAATTAACAGCTAGAAATATTTCAAGGACAAAAAAAATTGATTGAATGTCAAAAAAAAAAATTTAGTACTACACGTGTTCCTTTTTCCTTCTTGCCAAAAAAAAAACTTCATTATAATTTTTTTTTCGTAATAACAAATTTTTTTATTAAATGTCACTTGCATTTTGCAGTAAACAACAAATAATGCAAAAAAGAGGGGAAAATTGTTGAAAAAAATATAAAAAGGGTTTAATTGTCATTTCAATGCTTTTTTTACTGTTGACCCCCTGAATTTTTACATTTGACGCGCCTAATTTGAGTGTATTTCACGCATTTTGCCAGGTAGGATCCGAGTGTTTTTTTGTTTAAGTTTTGGATAGTTAAAGTGCCTATTTGAGCATTATGAAAGTTGGAGGTCAAAGTTAAAATTTGAAGCCAAGTTTAGGGGTCAATATATGTATTATGCCAAGATAGTATGTTTGAAAAAAGAAACTATAGATTATACTTGTTTATGCACACAGAAACCAAGAATGGCCATAATGGGACTATGCAAGAACAAAATAGACCTGATCAATTATAGCAGGTGTTGTGCTTGCCACAATCGGAATAAACTTCTTATCAACTTGTTGGAGAACTTTGGCACCCTTAAGGAAGTTTTTATCAATGGTATCAGGAACCAATGAATCACCGATAAAATGCAACACGCCAGAAGTGACACTGAGTATAGTATCCTGATTCTTAAGATTCTCTGTTCCAGTACCGCTCTGCATCTCATATTGGGAAAGATAGAAGTCCATCATCTTAACAAAATAGAGAAGAAGTCGCAAAAACATCCGAGATATAGCTAAAGTACTCAACTGTAATCTCTAGGGAAGTCCCACCATTTTATCCCAGAATCTAAGAAACTTCGAGTTTTTGTTGGTGCAAATTCTGAAAAATTGATAAAAAAGGTCAGGCAAGAAATTTTTATTACAAGATCAAAACATAAGCAAGATGGGATTTGAAAGAGACATTGTAATTTCTAATGCTTTCATGATTAATAAGAATGCAGTCTAAGACAATCTTGAAAAATAGGTGAAAGAAGTGAAGTTAATTAACTGAAACATGCACTAGGAAAATTCAGCTCTTATTCAGGTCAGGAACAAATGGCAGGAATGGTTTCCCTTCTTTTGACTGCCCATCGCGTGTACCTGTGCATTCCCCCCTTGAGCTTCTAATTTGCTATTCCAGATGTTAACAAGTTTCCTTTTCACATTTGGCATGAAGAAAGAAGCATCTGTCGTGTGAGTTATTGACATAATTAGTTGAGATAATATCAGAAAGAGACCTAACGCTCCCAAGAAATTTGATAACATAACCTTTCAACAGAGAATACACCGTCACCACAACTTGGGGTGGAAGATTGAACACATTGATGGGATGGCGGCTGTGAAAGCTCCTAGAAGATAGCTTCTTGAGAATGATGCAGTCTCCTTACTGCTCTAGGTTATGCACCATGTAAAGGAACATTAATTAGTAGCACATGTTTTCTGTCAGCATTGATTATTAACACAAACAAGCACTCAAGGACAAATTACCTGGCATGAATGGCACATCATGAGCTGTCTTAATTTTAATCATCATCCGGCATGGCACATCATGAGTGTTGTGTTGTGTTGTGTTTGACACAATCGAAATTAACTTCTTATCAACCTATTGGAGAACTTTGACACCCCCCAGGCAGTTTTTATCAGTGGAATCAGGAACCAGTGAATCACCAAAAAAATGCAAGACGCAAAAGTTACATTGAGTATAGTAATCCTGATTCTTCAAATACTATGTTCAGTACCGCTCTGCAACTCATATTGGAAAAGAAAAAATTCCATCATCTTAACAAAATAGAGAAGAAGTCGCAAAAATATCTGAGATATAGCTAAGGTACTCACTGTAATCTCTGGACGGCAGTCCCTCCATTTTGTCCCATAATCGAAGAAACTTTGAGATTTTGTTGGTGCAAATTCTGAAAATTTGAATGAAAAATGTCAGGCATGACAATTCTATTACAAGATCAGAACATAAGCAACATGCAACTATATAGCCTACGAGACTTAGAAAGAGACAATTTGATCTCTAATACTTCCATGATTAATTAGAATGCAGTCCGAGACAATCTTGAAAAGTGGGTGAAAGAAATGAAACTAATTAACTGAAACATGCACTAGAACACTTCAGCTCTTATTCAGGTCAGTAACAAATGACAGGAATGGTTTTACCTTCTTTTGACTCCCCATCGCATGTACATCTTTTGACTCCCCATCTCCCTAAAAAAGTTCAAACAAATTCTTGAACATCCTTAACATCCGCTGAGAGAATGACAACACAATTCTTTTGAATTTCGTTAATATTTGCAACGTCATATTCTTGAAAACTACAATTTCATATTCTTGAAAACTACAATTTCTTTGATTTCCTTAAAATATGCCGACAAGTTCTTGAATTCCCTTAAAAATTATTCATGCAAGAATTCTGTAAAATATGCATATAAGAATATCAATGTCACTTCAAAAAGCCAACAATTCTTGAATTTTTCTAAAAAAAGCATGCAAGAATTTTCCTTCTCTTTTAGTGGATGGAAGAATGCCAAAATAATGGGAAGACCAGTACCATTACTTGAGCAGATAAGAACCGCGGGAAAATTAGTTTAGGGTTTCTTTTTTTAATACCAACTTCTTGATTTTTTTCTTAAAAAAAGAAGGCTAGAATGCATACAAGAATTCCATTCGAGTACTCTAGTAGATAATGGAAAGAATACCAATAGATTGATCGCCGGAAAAAATCGATTTAGGGGTTTCGATCGACATCGTCATCGGAGAGCTAAAGAGGGTTTTGATCGACATCGTCATCGGAGAGTTAAAAAGGGTTTTGATCGACATCGGAGAGTTGAGAGCCGAACTGCCGGAGAGTGTAAATGACGGTGGTTTGTTCTAAATGAGCAGGCGGGGTTCTTTTATAGTTAAAACACGCAGAAAAAGAAGAAGAAGAAAACTTAATACACGCGGAAAAAAATATAGTTAGGCTCTAATTTTTTAAATTCCAAAAAAATAAAAAATAATTAAAATGAATTAGGCTCTTAAAAAAGACAAAATTGAAGCATCATTAATGACTTTTTTAAAAATTCTTTTGTTGTTATTGATAAACTATTATTATAGTTATAAATTAAATATAAATTATAGTTACAACTTAAATAAAAATAAACTAAGGTAAATTATGCAAATATCAGCCCAACCATATTTATTTCCAATAAAATGGCATCTGCCTTTTCTTTTTCTTGTGCGTTCTTCCTCCTCCTCCCTCTTTTGTGCCTTTTTTTTTTAATTCGAATTTGAGATGATTTGAGTTGATCGAAATTAAATAGTTAGTGTATATTTCATATATAATCCATATTACTTCATGTATAGCTAAATTATTATTAATTTTTAGAGTATATCATAATGTATAGTTAGTGTATAACTATGTGAAGATAAGTTATAATGTATAGTCTATCATTTATATGACATTTGACAAACTATAATATATAGTTTCTATTTTTATATGACATTTGACAAACTATTTTATTTATGATTTGAGTTTTTTAGTTTATTTGTTTAAAAAATTATTATTATTGTATGAAAATTATTACATCTTATCATTTATCCTTATTAACATAAGCATAAATTAATTACTGTAAAAGTATATACCAGGATCTGTAACATATGGTGACAGTGAGCCACTCAATAGGAGCAAAGTACACAAATAGTTAATTGTGAAGAAGAAGAGGTTCAAAATTTTCGTTGTTTTAAAATGTGAGGAAATCCCTCTATTTATAGACAACAAATGGTAGTGTGGAAAAATGTTTATTGTACCTTATAAAAAATGTTACAACTACTTGAGAAAATTGCAACCCTTCGGAAAGGTCACAACCTTTCATAAAAGTCATAACTTCTCATAAAAGTCGCAACTCTTTCATAAAAGTTATAATTTTTCATAAAAGTCGCAACTCTTCATTAAAGTCACAACTTTTCATAAAAATCGCAACTCTTCATTAAATTCACAATTTTTCATAAAAGTCACAACTTTTCATAAATGGGGAAGGCAAATTTTGGAAATAAATAAATTAAAATGGGAATTCTGGTTTGTGGTGGCGCCACGTATGCGGGCCTAAGTTTTTTTTTTTTATATATATATATATATGATTTATAATAGAATCTCTATAAATTAATATTATTGCAACCATTAATTATTATTGTTTTATAAAGATATTATTTAATTTATTAATTAGGAGAGTGTTTTCGAGATTCAATAAAGTTTCCAGGAATTTAAATGAACCTATTTGTAAAAAAGATATTCATGAATTCTAGCTCATGATTAATGATCTCGACTACCGTAGTAAAATGAATGTTAATATTCGTTGGATTACTCAATTAAAACTAAAATGATACATATTAAGAGGCGAAAGCTTAGAAGAAATTATGGATACCATCAAAGAAAATAATATTGCTGGTGTGATTAAAGACAATATTTAAAAACATTTCAAACCAGTTACGCGTAAGAAATCACTTATTGCATTTAGAACTCTTCATAATTTTTTGGTGAGAAGACAACATCAGATTTTTTGGTTGTAATAAGAAAGGTTAGAGATAACTCCAACTATATTTCAATTTTAACAAAAAAAACACTAGAATCATATTTCACTTAATTATCTTAGATATTTTTGTAATTTTAAAAAATTGTTAATTTATAATCATATTATATTATAAGTGGGAAGCTCCAAGATGTAAAGTTGAATTACCATTTTATCCCTATACTAAATAAAAATGTTATATTCATATTTTTTGATTATTTTATTTTTAAAAAATATTGATCAGTAAACATTTTTACTATTAATGAATTGAGAATATTTGAATAGTTATGAAAATTAAATAATCTAAACGTTAAAGAAAATGGAGAGACAAACGTTAGTTAATGAGAGCAATTAGGTAGAGATTTAAGTTGCACATTAACCAAAATATAGTAGCATTTCCTTTACATAGGTAGAATCTTAAAAGTTGTAGACTTCAATACATTGAATCCTATAGTTAATATATGTTATTTTCAATGATAAATACGTGAAAAGAAGCTAAAGAGACTAATTAATCATTTAAAGTGAAAGTATTATATAAAGCCAAGAATAGTTTTCATTTCCCTCAAGTCCCCCTCTCCATTTCTCTGAGCAGTTTTTGCTCAATCAATGTCAAAGTCAATGGCTATTAAAATACGCTATGAACGTTGTTGGATTTGTCCAAGAATTTCAGCTATGGATGTTGTTGGATTCGTCAAAGAAATTTCTTAGTGTAGAGGAGCATTAGTTTTTTCATTTGAAGAATATACTCATGGCACTTATTATTTAATTTACTTACTAGAACTTAATATGTGCAGCACAACATTAATTTGTGGTAAAAAATCTCTATATATTACTGGTTTTACACATTTTATTAACGTAGCACATAATGTTTCACTTTCTCATTTAAATATTGTAGTTGTACTTTAGTTAGTTATTTTACTTTATATGATTATGTGGTTAGATTGATATACCTTTCATTTACTTTTTATCGGAAAGGAGATATCTCGTAGAAGTTTGATTAATTAGTAATGTTGGTAATTGGTGATATTCCTATCAAATGAATGATGATTGGCGGAGCCTCTTTATAATTTTTTTTTAGTAAACAAAAAAATAAAGGAAAACTAGAGTATTAAATGATCTACCTTCAAGATATATATTTTATAAAGATAAATCGTCTTCCTAATTATAGTTGACTGAATTTAAAAATTAAGTTACAAAGAATAATATGCTTTGTACATCATGATTTCTATTTTATTTTTTTTGTTAAAGTAGATATCTATAATTTTATGATGATTGCTAATTTTGAGAAAAACAAAATGCTTATTTGTTTACCACATAAATTGCTCTATGCAGTACAAAACATCTACAAAGTAGAGCAAGAAAAAAAATGGTATTTGCAAATAGTTTTTGGATTTTGGATCTTAGAATCAAAACACCATATAGGATACTTGTCAATTTTAAGAACATGTAATTTGTATTTTCTATTTTATAACACATAATATAACTTTAAAATATTGTTTATATACGGTCTTCACAAAAATATTTTTATTTATATGGCCACACGCGCATCGCGCGTGTCCAAAAACTAGTATTAATAAAAGTATGAGACCATACATTTATATAGAGTCCTCGAAAAATATATTATCTTATCAAAATCAGTGATTTTTCGAGTGACCCAAATCAAGATTGGTGAAAATATATTATCTTAATTTTTTTAAATATTAATTTAGAGAGATTCTACTGTAATTTGAATTTACAAATAATTGAATGATAAAAAGATACTCCATCAAATTAAAGAAAAAAATAGGGAGCAAAAAAAACAGGTGTTTTTTTAGTCCTACATACGAGAAAGACTTTATTAAATTAGAGAAAATTTAGAAAATCCATTAGCTTAAACCGTAAGCAACACGCTTGCGGTTTGAAGTGTGCGTAGAGATTATGCAACTAACCTCTTCTTCTCTATATTTATACCACCATTCACAATCAGAAGGGTCTTCTTCTTCTTCTTCTTCTTGCTTTGTCTGTCTCATGTCGATATTTTTGGGAAACACCGCTTCAAGTAAGTAAAACTTCATTCTTTATGCTTTTATGCATTGTGTTCTGTTTTTTATAGTTTTTTTTAAGTATATTTTCTTGATTACTACATAAGCATATGAATCAGTGTAGTTGAAATCAAGTTCAACAATCGATATAACTGGGATCCAAGAAAAGAGGCAACACAATAGTATAAGAAAAGAAAAAAAAGATTAATTCTTTGATAACAAGAATGTGTTTTCATATATTAACGACACAGTTTTCAAATTTCTTGAAGAATTCTCCACTTTCTTGCATATTCTTCAAAGCTTAATTTTCTTTCTAGCTTGAGTTTGGTACATTACAATGTCTTATAAACTGTATTTCCATACAATGCTCTATAACCTCTGTCCAAATACGCTAAGAAGAAAGACCACATAGGCTATTGCATGGGAAATTGTGAATGACATACACAGGCGAGGATTGACATATATAGATGCTACACTTAATACTGCCAATTTCATGAAAGGAGAGATATCATATTTACTTTCTAGAGAAGCAAGGCGGCTTTGGAATTGGTCAAAAAGTTAAATCTGCTCCTTGTGGAAGTAGCTATGCTTATTGAGCTGTACTCTTCTAAAAAATGTTAGTAATAACTGCAATATCTCAATGAGATTTCTTGTGGTGGGTAGTGTTATTGCTTACAATTTCTGGAACAGATCTTGTGCCAGCTGTTCATGCTTGTAGTTGTCTTTAATTAGTGATTAGAAAATCAATCCAATCTGCCTTCCTAACTGCAGGACCATTAGACTTTAATGCAGCAACGAATGCTACATCTGGTCAAGCACAAAACGTATCTATGGACTCGTCCACTTCACCAACATTTGGAAAGAACTATGACTTTAATAGTGTTGCCAATGAACCTTTGGTGTGGTCAAGGGATGTCAATGTCTCAGACTCCTCCATACTTGGATATCCAAGAGCTCCTGCATTTGGTGTTTCAAGCAACTCACACTTTGGCACCCCAAGACTTGATTCATACTCATTTGGCCAACCAACAGTATCTATGTCAGGGGGCAAAGGTTAGCTCTATTGTCCATTTTCTCATGTATTGGAGCAGATTAATCAACATTTTGAGGGAGAATTTTGTTCTCTAATCTGTATGCTCTGTATTGATCTGAAATCCCTGCTGAGCTTTTATTAAATGCTACTGAGTACGAATTATTTCTACTTCATGATTTTGGATATTATAAATGTTCAATCTTGATCAAATTTGCAAACCAGGAAAAGAAAGTACACCACCTTTTTTCAAGAGCTATGGTTTTGGGAAGTCAGCATTTGACATTAATCGGAAAGGAAGTAGAATAGCATCATATATTGCAACTCCAGAGAACAATATCACAGGACCCAGTGGTGAAAAAATTCAATCCATTTGTGGAATGCAGACTTATAAAGATAAAAGCCAGGAGGAGTTGAGGTTTGAGGACTACCAGTTAGGTGATAAAGGTATACTTAACTTGTTCTCTTATGTGATTCAGATTAAGTTTTCTTCAAATATATTATTGCTACCTTTATATGTGCTTATCTTTCTGCAATTAAGTTAATTTCAAACAAATTCTTTGGTCTCTGTCCAAGTACACTCAGAAGAAAGACCATTTAACCAATTGGTATCTTCCATGAGGTAATTTAAAAAGGCTGTCCTCCTCCCACCTGAGAAAATGAACTTGCCTAATATTTCATTCTTCCCCAGGTTACGCAATCCAAAAGATAATTCAAAAATCTGGGCATTTGACCATTAAGCCAAGCTATTGTATGGCTGTTTGGGTGCATTTTGGGGATGATTTCACCATGGTGGAGAAGGCAACAGTGGTGGGAATATTTGGTTGCCTATGGAAGACGAATAATCTTTTATAATGAATGTCCACACTGGTAATGAGCTTAAAATGTACCTGGTGCACATGCATGTCCATCTTTTGAATGATTCAGCACATTGTTTATTTGGTTTTAGTCATTTGATTAGGTGTAGAACTGGAGACATCAACAGGATACATATGACTACTCCAATTGATATTAGATAGTTGTAGGCTTGACCAAGAACAACCTGCAGTTTTTTTTTAACCAGGAGTAACCTAAACTTCACATTGTACATGCATCTTTGGAGCACAGGTGATTTAACAAAATGCTTTGTTTGATTTATTTTTAATGAAAAGGCTAAAAGAGAACAAAACTTACCAATCAAATAAAACAAAGAGGGAGAGCAGAAATTGAAATATGGAACTTCATATGAAGTCACAGTCAAAATGCAAAAAGGTAACAGTGAGTAATTCAATCAGGCTGACTGTTTTCAGTACATAAAAAATGAGAGCATGTGAGTAGGAACAACGGCCAAAGAATGCCAAAGCAGAAGAATAGAATTAGGAAGGAGTTGTGTCCGATGCATGAGGAGTTTATACAATCCTAAAAATCTGAAAAATGGTGCTAAAAGAAACTGTCCCGATATTCAATTTAAGCTCAATTGAAAGGCGTCTGAAAGAACCAAGTCACAACGACAAAAGGTGGGTTGCTGTGAATTTGTGATGCTAGGCTCAACTTACTGAGTAATGTTGTAGCACTAATAGCATGCTTTATGTCAGAACATTAATTTATTAGAGTGCTAAAAGAATGTTAGTTACTTCGTCTGACAAGTGAAATAGCAAAATAGGAAAGAGATTGCAGAGATCACAACTACTAGGGTACAACATGTCAGTTAACCAAGTAATCCTCCTCTAAACATGACAAAATAGAAGTTTACAGAGAACTAGGACCGAAGGATGCACAGACAAGTTAATAAAACATTAGTCTTCATCTTCTTTTTTTATGACAAGGGAACCCACCTAGGAATGATCTACAAACACTATTTGAATATGTTATTCCCATGATTTCTCTGCCAAATGGATTAAGTACAGCTTTCTTTCTCGCCTGTGGTCCAGGTGAGGAATGGCATATATAGATGCTACACTTATACTGCTAATTTCATGAAAGGAGAGATATCATATTTACTTTTCTAGAGCAGCGAAGCGGCTTTGGAATTGGTCGAAAAGCTAAATCTTCTCCTTGTGAAAGTAGCTATGCACATTGAGCTGTACTCTTCTCCAGAAATGTTAGTAATAACTGCAATATCTCAGTGGGATTTCTTATGGTGGGTAATGTTATTGTTTACTATTTCTGGAACCAATCTTGTGCCAGCTATTGATGCCTTGTAGTTGTCTTTAATTAGTGATTAGCAAATCAATTCAATCTGCTTTTCTAACTGCAGGAACGTTAGCCTTTAATGCAGCAATGAATGCTACATCTGGTCAAACTCAAATCATATTTCCGGGATCATCCACTTCACAAACATTTGGAAAGAAATATGACGTTAACAGCGTGGCCAATGAACCTCTGTTTTGGTCCAGAGATGCCAATGCCTCAGGCTTCTCCGCATTTGGATCTTTACAAGCTACTTCATTTGGTGTTTCAAGCAACTCACACTTTGTCACCCCAAGTTTTAATTCCTATTCCTTTGGCCAACCAGCAATATCCATGTCAGGGATCAAAGGTTTGCTTTTGTCCATTTTCTCATGTGTTGGAGCAGATTATTCAACAGTTTGAGGGAGAGTTTTGTTCTGTAATCTAGATTAGATGAGCCGATTGATATAAGATCATATACCGTTCAATGTGCATTATTATATGCTCTAAAATGATCTGAAATCAATGTTGAGCTTTTGTTAAATATTACTAAGTACCATTTATTCCTACTTTATATTTTTGAATATCCTGAGTGTTCAATCTAAGATCAAATTTGCAAACCAGGAAAAGAAAGTACAACATCTTTGCTCCGGAGCTCTGGTTTTGGAAAGTCCGCATTTGGTATTAACCAGAAAGGAAGTAGAACAACATCATACATTGCAACTCCAGATATAGATAGCACATGTCTCGATGGTGGAGGAATTCAATCCATTTGTGGAATGCAGACTTATCAAGATAAAAGTCAGGAGGAGTTGAGGTTTGAGGACTACCAGTTAGGTGATAAAGGTATCCTTAACTTTTTCTCTTATCTGTAGATAACAAAGAAATCTACCTTGTATCTCATTAACATTTTTATACTTCATGGGTGAATTTGCAGGTCAGGAATGTGGTTCTTCATTTAGTGTTTCCGGCGCACAGGGATTTGGTCTCATCAACAACACGAGGCCTTTCATATCACCAGTGTTAAACCAATCAACTGTTGATCAACCTTTTTATTCCCATTTTCCAAGTACATTTGCACTGGAAAGATCAGGGGTTGACTCTCTATCAAAAAATGCTACCTCATTTACGAAGGCCCAACAGTCCATTTCCCATATATTTCCCCCAAACCAATCATTGTTGAACTCTTGTGGCACTAGAAATAGAGTGGAATCTACTGCCTCAGATGCTTCTTTTTCTCCGTGGAACAATTCAAATCAGTTTGCACCTTTTAAACCAGCTTCCAGTTCTTCCGCTGCCTCCACCTTTTCTCCATTAAGGAACCCATTGTCTTTATCAACATCTGCCCCTCTATCTCCATGTTCAGTCTCACCTTCCACATATCCTTGGTTAACTAAGTCATCAGTTCCTGATTTTGATCAGAAGAACTCTTTTTCTCCCACTCCTGTTTTAACTACAGGAGGCGCTTCACAATCCACATTATGCTTGAACTGCCTAAAGCAGTCACAGCCTACTTCAGCAGGACTTTCTAATGTTTCAAGCACTCCACTTGCAGCGAATCAAAATACTGTAAGTGTTTCTGAACGTATATGCAATTAGATCTCATTTATATATCTCCGCCATTTGCTTTCTGTCATAAATAATATAAAAGGCACCTTGTGGTCTATAAAATCGGTGAAGCACTTCTATTGCGGTGTTGTACATCTAAGTTGTTGCCCACTCTTGCAGCCTCTGTTCTTTGGTCCTCTGCAGCCAGAAATGACTCCTAAACTTGGAGCAACACTCCCAACAACCAACGCTTCTCACCCAACAACAGGTACACTTACTGCAGTATGTTTTGCTCTTTTTGATGTCGATAGTATGTTGGATTGTAATCAATGTAACTAATCCTCCTGGCACCTGTTTCCTGTAAGAAGGTGCTAGTTGCTCAGAAATTGGACAAGGAGTTGATCAGCAGCCAAGTATGAATGGCCAACAGTGAGTATCAAACTTAACTATCTGTTCTTTTACTTTACTTCGTGTGTTATTAATTGCCTAATTTTGACTTCTAGACTTCCCTCACATTCTTTTTATTTCTGCTGCCTCAGTTATTACTGCACAGTCCTCTCGTTTTAGTTTGATCGTTTTATTCTTCTTGTGTCTCTTCTTTTTCTTGCCTCCGAGATCTTTCTTTTTGTACTTTCTCATGCACCAGCTATACCTTAACATATTTTCAGGTCTTACTTTCCGATAATCATGGAAGTCAAGCCATCACCAAATATGCCTCCTGCTGAAACACAACCCTCAGTCCAAATCTCAGTTGAGCACCCGTATTTGGAAACTTCCATCCAGTATGGAATTTCTAGTTTACCTGTAAGTTTCACATTTCTAAACAAGTAATTATAATTAATGTTGCTCCTGGATGTGTTCACTGTTCTCAAACCAAGTATCACACTCACTAGAAGTTACATGATGTACTGGGAATCTGGGATGCCTCGTTACTATTGTTATAATGTTATGCACCTTGAAAGACAGATTTATTTGTCACTTTTATAATGTTGTATATTTATTCTTTCATGTCAAGGTAGATGTAACTGTGTCTAGTTGCTGGGGCTTTATATTTGTTTGGCTATATACTAAATAAATTCCAGTATTTCTCCAATCAGATATAAACATCAGTACAGTTGTCCAAATTCCAAATTAAATCTTCAAAGTATCAGGCATGATTATGTTTTTATTAGCTTCACTATATTGGTTATGCTTAAGGTGAAAACATCAGTTGTAGGCTATTATGAAAAATTATCCTTTTGTTGCTTGCAGGTTTCTAACAACCCTGCTCCGGTCAGACGAAGATCTTCTTTGATAATTCGACATTCATCTCTAAGTCACCATAGGTTGCCACCTCAGAAATACAAACCTACAAGTGATAAACCAAAGGTGAGAAGTATAATTTTATGTGAGACTTGTTTAGTAGTTCGTGGGCATGCTTTGGTTGATGGACCAAAAGTTTAAGTTGCAATCATATGCAAAGATTTGCAAGTATGGGTATCCTTTCGTTGAAAAAATACAGGACAAAGTCCATATTTTCCTCTAATCCAAGTAAAACACTGAAAAATTTAACAGGACTATAATATTTGTTTATGTAGGTACCCTTTTTCATGGATAAAGAAAACGCTTCTGGTGTACTAAGGACAGAAGTCATCATCATTCCAAGGGAAAACCCAAGGGACTGGGTTCGTCCTACCACAGAATCTCCACAAGGGGCTGATTCATCTATGGACAGTAAGCTTTTTTTTTTTTAATGAACATATGCATGCATGCCTTCCTTTCATTGATTGGTTCAGCTGGATTCTAATAGATGCATAAGTCAATTGTCATAGTTACATGTAATGTTTTAGTTAGTGGATTACTTAAATATCAAGTACCATTTTATGTCTGCTCCATCAAGATCCCATTTCCTTAAAGCTCAAAGCCTGGAATCTCTAATAGTTCAAAATTAAAACCAAGTAACTTCACTGATTGGTGATTCGTTTACAAGATCATGGACACTAGAAAATTATAATTTTGTTATCTATTTGATATATCCAAGGATATACAACTTGACTTTTGCTATTTTAATTCTAAGAATTAAGAACCAAATTAACCAAGTTTGCTATTTAATTGTGTAATAATTCCTTTTTCTGTTTAAAATGTAGGGATGCATGATGGAGACAAAATTGTTCATAATCCCAAGTTAGAGCCTGAAGAGACACATCATGATAATTGTGGCGATGATAAGGATGTGGATGGCATAATGCCAAAGCTTCAACGTGCTGATTACTACACAGTTCCTCCTATAGAGGAGTTGCTATCAAAGGAGAAGGAAGAAGCTGGTTTTTGTTGCCACGTGAAGGACTTTGTGGTAGGAAGACATGGGTATGGAAGCATCAAGTTCTTGGAAGAAACAGATATCCGGAAGCTTGATCTTGATTCTGCTGTTCATTTCAACCATCGCGAGGTGATCATCTATATGGATGAGAGCAAGAAACCTCCAGTTGGACAAGGCCTCAACAAACCAGCTGAGATAACTCTCCTTAATGTCAGATGCATCAACAAATCGACTGGGAAGGAGTACAGAGATGGACCAATGGTCAACAAGTACAAAGATATGCTTATTAAGAAAGCAGTAGAACAAGATGCAGAATTTGTTTCTTATGATCCAGTGGAAGGGCAGTGGAAATTTAGGGTATCACACTTCTAATTGATTTTGTGGCATAACCAAATGTTTGAATTTTAAGATGTCCTCCAACTGATATTTTTAGAATTAGCTCACTTTGATTTTGTCCCACTCTTTTACGCACTTTTGTTCCCAGTGAGCCAAGTTGTTATCACTGGATTTCATTCAAAGTTTACTCATTTTGTGTATATCTCTTGCAAAGTTTTCTGCTTTTATCTCCAATTATTCTTTTCTTATTTCACTTGTTTGTGGGTAAATAGTTCTAATGAATCCTCGTATTAATGAATGCATTCAGGTCCCTATTCTTATTCAATTTGTTAAGACACTTTACAAAAATTTCTGTTATTTAATTTTGAGGTAAAATACTGATAATAATATTTGACACAGCCTGGAATACAAAGCGTAATCACAAAATCAGGGAACAACCAAACACCATAACTTCCTTTCTCATTAGCAATCAATAGATTCAATGTGAACTTGTAAATAGTTTTTGCTAATTATGTTTGAACTTATTATTAAAACTAGAGGGGAGTTGCCCGTGCTGCGCGCCACGCACGGGCCCAATATCTATTTTACTGTGATGAACTTTAATTTGTGAGTAAACCATGACACACTTGTCTTTGTAAAGCCCATTCGATTAGATTATGTTCCCCGTGGGGACAGTTTTTGTCCATCATTCGACAGCCTGTCAGCATTTTTAGAAGAACAACCCCGAAACTGTATACGTCACTTCTGGCGGTTATATGACCCACACATGAGAGGTGACAATCAGAAGGTGAGAAAACAATTACTCCAGGCTATCAGAGCAGAAAGGGGAGGTTTCAAAGCTGAAACATTTAAACCGAAAGACGTAATTCTTGAATAGGGATAAATAACAGAACAATCCAAATAGCATTACACTTCCAATTTCTTTCAAAACACATAGTCTCGAGTATGAAAGACTTGCAAATTAGACATATAGACGACTATCAAGAACTGAAAAGAGGAGATAACTCTTAAGAGAAACATTACTGAAATATATATGCCAAACGCTCTGACAGAAACAAATTTGGGTGAGCAGGGCCATGTCCATACAGAAACGGTTGGAGCAAATTGAAAATACAACAACAACATATATGAAGGTAGAGAGGTTGTTACCAATAGACGCTCAGTTCAAGTAAAGCATAACAACAATTAGGAGTATATTGAAATTGTATATTACCTGTGGCCATATACTCGGGAGCTCTAGTAGATACATGGCTTTTACGGTCAATTGGCCCATCCTTTGCCAATCCAAAATCAGAAAGCTTTGCATTGTAATTCTGTCAAACTTCTAGAAGACTAAATTTCAAAGTAGTTCCACATACAACATCAAGCAAAATGTCAGATGATTTGAAATCCCGATATATAACTTTAGCTTTTGGGCTATCCGGAGATTCCATGACAGTGGTTGGAAATAAGTACTGCCTGTTCAAGATGTACCATAAAAATCCTAATATGTACCATAAAATTTTTGATGCACTCCACTCAAAAGCTGCCAATGAAATAGAATATAGTGCTGTATATTATTGCCTGTGAAAACACATACGGAAACTCAATAGCAACCTGCATAGAAAAGTGGAGCACTGTTAAGAATACCGAAGAAAAAAGAAGTTTTTTTTAACTGTAAAGG